CTTCAATCGATTTCCTGGAAATTAAAATCGTTTACAAAAACTATTTTTTATAAACTCTTTTTGACAAAAAAAAACTGTATATAAAGGGAAGACATTTACTATTAAAAAAACAAGAATTCTTTATTATTGCAAAATAAAAAACTATTTAATTAAAAAATGAACAAGTACTTAATGTTGGTAATCTGCTTGGTGGCTGTAATTGGCACAGCCTTAGTCTCGGTGGCTGACGCTCAACGTTATGGTGGCCACAACAGTCGCACCGTCCACCGTGGTCCAATCAGACACGGCCCAGTCCAGGGACCTCACCATGGTAGACGTGTTGGCTATGGTAGATAAATGGTATCATAATTGGCATCATAAATGGCTAAATAACCCGATGCTTACCCTATGATCTGCTTTTTAACCCACATTTGGACACTAATTACATGTTTATTATTTATATAATTTTTTGTTTTTAAAACTTATTTTTGTTATTTAATTTATATTAAAATCTGGGTAAAAATTTTTGATAATTATTTTGTTAAAATCTCTGTTAAATGTGTGTGTAATTCAATTCAATTCAAAAATAAATAAATATAATAAGTAAATAAGTATTGTTGAAAAATTAATTGAAAATGGATAATATTGTTTTAATAACTGTAATGAGCAAATATTACTTAACACATTTTAATAATTAAAAATATTGGGTCAAAGATTTATTTAATACAGATAATATTTGAAAAACATTTTTTATTTGATCTATGTTACTTTATATATTTAATTTTAAATAGTATTTAATTGTTTTAATTAAACACAAATAAAGATTTTATAAACATAATTTATTTAATTTAGCATAACAAACTATTATATTTCATAAGAATTTAAAAGTTAGTCATTATAACAATTTACTTAATGTGGCAAAATATATTTAGACATCATTGTCTTTAAAAGCCCGTCATATATCAACCAATAGTCACCAATTATATCAATTTATGAATTAAACCTAGATAAATACACATGCAATCCGCCAATTTTCCTTTGGTGAGATTAATCATTTGTAATCAAAATTGATCTAGGACAACAATCATGTTCTATTTTTATTGGCAATAATTCATTCAGTAAACAAATCTATAATTTCGGTTTATTCTGTATTATAGTCCCACCATAGTCGATATGTTGACAATGGTAAATACAGTACAATATTCTAAAATAGAGACGACTTTGACTGTAAATAAAATAAAAACTACAATACATAGAGCATTGAAAATATATTTAAATTATAGTTTATTTATTAAACATTAAATTGATATATAATTTGTTTGGTAAAAATGTGTCTTGAGTACAAGTATCACCTTCGGGAGTGAAGAGTACTATTTTTATTTTTCCAGAACTTTATGCTGTAGTTCTATGGAAGAAATAGAAAAAGTTGTTTACTTTATGATTATCGCCGATTTGTTAATTAACTATAAATTTAAAGCTCGGAATTGTTTCATAAGGTATAATCAATTAGAATATTTAGTTTTAACAAATGTTTTGCATTATTTTCTAAAGATATTCATTGAATTTACCTTCTGGATCAGCTCCAAGAAGTTTACCGAAAATCGGGTAATTGTTCGGTAAATTCGACTAAAAATTGACAAATTAAAGGCCAATACTAAAATCAAATATATTTATGGGTGTGATATTCTAATTAAGAGATATAATAATATACAGATCAATTTTAATGGCATAATAAATTATTTAATTCACACAAATTTATCACATCTCAAGAGCAGTGGAAAAAGTTTTAGGGAGGATGGCACGAATCTTTAAAAAATTACATTTAAATAACATTAATTACCACACAAATTATATATCAATTTAATGTTTAATAAATAAACTATAATTTAAATATATTTTCAATGCTTTATGTATTGTAGTTTTTATTTTATTTACAGTCAAAGTCGTCTCTATTTTAGAATATTGTACTGTATATAAATAACTTGATGCCCAAACAATGGACAAACTTTTAGACTCTAACAATTAAGTTAATTTAACCTGCAATTAATCAACAGTTATATTTTTAATTATATATTTAACTAACTTTTATGTCAAAATCTATGTTAAATGCATTTGTAATACAATTTAAATATTAATAATAATAATGAGTGAATGAAAATATTTTCTTAAAAACTGTAATTGTTTGGAAATATTAACAAAAATTACTCAACATGTTTAGATTATTAAGATTGTGGTTAAGAATCATCCCTGGTTTGACATTTTTGATAAATTGAATTTTTACTTATTTTTTATATTGTTGTTTTGAAAACTAATTTTTTAAATTAACAATATAATTGTAATTAAATTACATTAATTTTTTGTCTTATGCTGACTTAATTCTGAATAAAATTTATTATATATTGTTTTTTTAATTAGAGATGTAATTATTTTGTTAACAATGATATTGTTTGTAAACTGTAATATAATTTTAAAATTGTTATAATATTAATTAAAAATTTTGAAATATTTAAATTGTGGAGGATCATTACGACGCCAATAGTTTTGTATTATTTATAACTAATCATTTATAAACATGTTATCATTTTATATCGGTTATATCGTTTAACCTGGTCATCTTAAGCAATTGTAAATAATATAATTGATATGTATTTATTATAATACACAAATACGTCGTTTTACATTGTTTTGTGTTAAATGACTTATAAATTAAGTTTGAAAATTGCATTTAATTTAATGAAATAACAATAACAACAATATATCTTATTATATGACTCTATAAATGCCAAAATATCTTATGATTAACAAGTTTAATTTTTATATTTTTAATTTAAATTTGATAAATGGCAAATAATTTAACATCCTCTCTCTCTTTCTCTCTCTCTCTCTCTATTTCCGGGAAAAATTACATTAAATGAGTTATATTACGATTTATACATGAAATGTTTGTGAAGTACAATTTATTTGTAACATAAAAACAAGGTATAATGCTAACAATATTTGCAAGCAAAGTATAATGCTAACAATAACAATTAAAATAATATATAATAGGTATTTAAGTCAAGATTACTTAAGATTTAATTTACCTAGGAGGAGTAACATTGCAATATTAAAATTTACTTATAGACTTAACATGGAATTCTACGTTATTTCTCCGTAAGTGGGGGAGGTAACGCTGCTTGATTCTATAAGCTTTAATTGTTCATATGAATTGAGGTTATAACAATAATTTTTAATAGTAAAATTTATAATTTAATATAATAAAATAGTACAATAGTACATATATTATATTAATAATGTATCAATTATTTTCAATTCTTAAACCATTATTTAAACCAAGTTCTTATGTAATCGATAACAATATATTTCGACTTCACTATAAGGCGACTGTAGTTATACTGATTGGATGTAGTCTTCTCGTAACGGGTGAGTCATACGGAGTTAATACGTCTAAAGTTGTAATTTTGTTTTTACCAACATTACACTAATTGAGAGTTAACAAAATATACCCCTATTTATTTAATTGTATATAGTGCTGGCAATTATTGTAAATGTGATAGTTGTGTATAAATGAGATTAATTAACTAAAGTTTTATTTATTATTTTTTTTATTTAATATTTTTATTTATTCAATATCATTGCAAACATAACCACAAAATTACTATTTAATATATCAATAGCTCGACAATACATCGGCGATCCAATTGACTGTCTCTCTGGCGACAAAATCCCGACTGAAATTCTAGGTATAGTACACTATATCGAGAGCACACTGTAAAGGGGTTCACTATATAATACCATGATTTTACTCATAGACTCTTATTGTTGGATTCACACCACGTTTAGTATAGAAAGCGCGTGGAAACTGAAAGTTGGCACCGAAGTAGTCTATCCAGGAGTGGACAACAGCGCCCGACACCCGGACAGTAGGCGTGTATATCACGCGTACTACCAATGGGTGTGTTTTATGTTGGCTTTTCAGGCAATGCTTTTCTATATACCGAGATATCTGTGGAAATCATACGAAGGCCACCGAATCAAGAATTTGTGTCTAGATCTTAATTTTCCAATTGCTCGTGACCCAGTTGTCACGCGCAACAATCGGGCCCTATTGGTTGATTATTTGTATCATAATTTCAATAATCATAACACAATGTTTCGGATGTACGTCACGTGCGAAGTGTTAAATTTTTTAAACGTAATCTTGCAAATGGTTTTGATGGACCGGTTCTTAGGCGGAGAGTTCACGAGCTATGGTTGGGATGTGCTATCATTCACGGAGTGGGACTCCGCTGTCAGATATGACCCAATGGTTTGTCTATATGGTGTGTAAATTAATCTTGGGCTAAACAATTGTAGTACATACAAAACATGTTTACTATTAGTGTAAAATTTTAGTAATTTTAAAAATATTAATAATGTAAATTCATTGGTGAACAAGTTTGCTTTACCTCTACATTATTTAGCAAAAGATTAATTAGCACATTGTATTTATATGCGTTAAATTATGGTATTAATAAATAAATATGTCAATTAGATTAAGGTATTTCCACGGCTAACAAAATGCACTTTCCATCAATACGGGCCGTCGGGTGACGTTCAAAAACACGACGCCTTATGCATACTTCCCATCAATATTATCAACGAAAAGATCTATATATTCCTATGGTTTTGGTTTTACATGTTGGCTATATTAGGCTTCATGGCACTAGTATATCGGACCGTAACAATATTAATGCCCCAGGTCAGATATTTGGTCATTCAGTCCAGATGTTTGGCCAATTACGATGCGCTGCGTTCAGTGTGTAATCAGTGCTCAATCGGTGATTGGTTTGTATTATATTTGTTGTGCAAGAATTTGGATTCAATCAACTTTAAGGATATGATCGTTGATTTCGACCGCCGTCTCACTGGAAAGACAGCGAATGGACTCTAACAGCCATCCATAATAATTTACAAATTAACCATTTAAATATTATAAATTTTTTAATTAAATATTTAATTAGTTTATGATATTTTATTGTACATCTAAACTTAAATAAATCATAATAAAAATCATCATTAATTTTTAATATAGAATATAAACTGTAAATATATTTAAAATACATAAAATTATTAACTAACATTTTAAGCTTAATATTATTATGGAGTCCCTGAACCTAAGCCATAATTATTTTAGCATTTTATCTGATAGACACTGAAAGAGCTGAAATTATAATATATTTTATAATTGCCATATTATCAATTTTATCTACATTCAAATATGTACATAGAAATATCAATCATATTTAAACAAGTATTAATTTAACAGACATTTTAATAACTATAATAGCTATAACTTGATAAACTTTGAACATTTATAATTTTAGTTTTTATTACCGATTTTATCATATTCTGGTAAAAACTCGCCAAACACATTATTGGTATTGAAAATTATTCAATTTTCAATAAAAATTTCATTAAGAATTTGTATTTTCTATCACGTCAATATTTAAATCTCTCTCTCTCTCTC